CCATCTCCCCAGCCCCCTAACCCGCTATTGAGACCTATCTTTTCTGTTTTCTCTTAGAAGCACTCCCTGCCTTCCAAAGTGCCAAATCCCTTGCCTCCCAGGCAGACAGAGGCAGGGGCAGCTAGCAAGAGGGCAAGAGGGAAGGCACTGAGGAGATGGGGAGATTAGTGTATGGAAAGCTGGGATGTGAGCCAGACAGGCAGGTGACAGAACATGCAGAGATCCCAGTCACCTGACTGAGGTAGGTGGCTGGGCAAACAGACAAGCAAGCAGCCAGGGAGAGGCAGGCAGGCAGGCGACCACAAAGGCTAACAGCTTCAGGCACCTTCCCTCAACTCCTCAGAACCACTTCTCACACCTGCCCTGGCGTGGACACACCCATCCCCCCCAAGGGGTAACACTCTGGATATTGTGTATGCATCTCTTTCTCTGTAGGGACTAGTGATCATCTCACCCCTCATCTCACTTCTGGGATCAGTCACACCTGACCTGCTCCAAACATACAGGTCATAGACACAGAAACAACCAGCAGGTAGAGGCAGAGTGATCTGCATAGCAGAGAGGAACAAAACAGCTGGAGAGAAGCTACCTTGCACACAGAGAGGTCCGCGCCCTCAGTATGCAGTTACACACGTACAGCTGCAGCACACACCAATACGCACACGGATGATCGGCCATAAGCACATCAACACACTCGCAATGCAGTACATAAATACTGCAATACAGCACATAACTACACTGTCTGCACAGACGGTCACATAACTGCTCGTTCTCCTCCTTGGCCTGGCTTCCTTCCCCCCGTTGGCCTTCCCCTGCAGACTCCTCTTCCATGTAGCCCCCCCACCTCCACTGTCGCTGTCAGGGATCCAAATCCTTAGACCCCTTTCCTCTCACCCAATTCCTTTGCCCCAGGCAATCCACCCACACCTGGTGCTAAATCCACCTCCTGTTTCCAGACTGGACATGGTATTTGGGGCTCCATTAGTTTCTCTGACACCTCTACCCGGGTGACATGGAACCAATGGACACACGGAACCAACTATATCTAAAATAAAACTTGCTCAAGCCTGTTCCCCCAGCTCAGGTACACGGCTGACTTCCTCTTTCCCTCACTTCCATCCACATCCACATCCACACAGGAGCTGCCTTCACATACCCCCTGGATCTTCCCTGCCTCTTCCCTCTACCAGCACCCCAGGCCTAATGCCATACACCTGAGATTACTTCCCCCACCCTACTGTTTTGTTTTTCCAATTTGGTGTGAGGTGTCCCTGCTGTTTACAGCTAAAGTGTCGTCCCCCCCCCCAAGGAAGGGTTAGGCACCTGTGCTGTTAACACTTGTGGACCAGGGGCTGTACAGACGCATACACTGAAGTGACCTCCCCACAGACACTTGGGCAGTGTTACACACAGACAACTACCCAATCTTGGGCCAGAAGCCCCTCCGCACCGCTCACAAAGCAGAGTCACTCCCACTTGGTGGGAGTCAGTCCTGGTCCCTTCTCCATCCAGACCTGCTTTTGAGACTGTTGTGCATGCTTGAGGCTGGTTGCAGATCTGACCTCCTCTTGACCCTGATCTTAGGACTGGGGGAGTGAGGGTCCGCTGCCTGAACAGGGAGGGGGTCCCTGGCCCAACAGGCCTCAGGCAGAGCCTTCAGCTATGTCTGCAATTTCCTCTCCCCTTCCTTTCCTCCTCCTCCCTAAGGTTCTGGCCAAGAAGGCCTCCCCCACACCCCAGCTCCAGCTCTGGGAGGGGAAGCCACGGGGAGGGGCCTTGCTGGACAGAAGGCTGCCAGCTGCAGGCACTGAGCACACCATGCCTGGCAGGCAGCAGCTCTGGCCCAGGTAGGCGCGCACGTGTGCACCGGTCAAATAAGGGGAGGCACATTCGCACATTCTGCAGGGCTCATCTCTAGGAGCTCAGAGGCACCAGAGGCCCCACACTGGGGCCTGCGAGCCTGCTCGGCCTGGCCCAATAATCATTAACCCGGGGTGACCGAACCAGAGCTTGGCCAGCTGGCCACATTTAAGCCCGGGTCTTGGAGGAGGGGCTGGGATGCTGACGATCTCAGCATTGCGTGGGAAGACCGAGGGAGCCAGGAACTGTGGAACATACCCACGCCCAGAGGATAATTAAGGCACAGAGAAGTGGTTTCAAATGTAAACATGTCTCCTTGACTCAGTTTACTTTATGTGAGAAGTGAGGATGACCATGAGAACCCACGTTGTAAGGCTGTTAGGTCTAAATGAAAGGCGGCTGGACGGGGTTAGCCCAGCTCCGGGCACCTAGGCCCAAGGGCAGCTTCCGAAAAGTAAAGTTATTGCTAGCCTGGGGGCGCCCCTGCAGCGGCCTCCCCAGCGGCTTCCTGTGCAGAAGGGCGCCCCCCTCCCCTTCCTCCGCCGCTCTTCCTCCCGCCCCGCCCCGTCCCTCCTCTTTCCTCGGAGGAAACTTTCCGCCCGTTGGTCCATCGCCCGGTGTCCGGCCTGCGCTGCGCCGTGGGGAAGCAAGCCGGAGGGACTGGACGTGGCGGGAGCGGCGGGGCCTCGGGTGTATGCAGCCGCCGGGACGGACGCGTGACCCGCAGGGGCCGGGCATCCGGGAAGCGGGGCGCTGACGGTGAGTGGCCGGGGCTCTGGGCCTCGGCAGGCGGGCTGGATGGCGGAGGGAGACGGCCGTCCCTCCCCGCGCTGTCTCTGCCCTCCATCCCGCCTCGAGACCGCTAGACCCGGCCTCGGCTCAGGACCCCCTCGGGGGGCGGGGCCGCTGCCGCGCCGCAGGACGGGGGGCGTCGGAGCCCAAGGGAGGACTCCCCCTAATGGGGCCCAGGTCTGGGACAAAGTTAGGGAACTGTTCGCTCCGGACTGGAAACTGGGGCGGCCCCTCCAGGGAGAGGAGCTGCCGGAGGAGCGAGCCAGGCAGGGTCCGTTTCGGGCTGGGGAGGCGCTGATTTCGGTGACCCCGCAGGCTGGCCTGGGAACCGCACCCCGAGCAGCATGGATGCCCCCCGAAGGGACATGGAGCTGCTGAGCAACAGCCTGGCCGCCTACGCGCACATCCGCGGTGAGGGCGGGCGGCGATGTGGGAGACACGGGCCCTCCCCGCCCCCTTGGCTTCCTACCCTCAGCACCCCGCACTTCCCAGAGCCCGCTTCACTGCCCGTTGCTGGTTCCCCACTGTCTCTCCAAACGTAGACCTCGGAGTCTCTAAAAAGGAGTTCTCCAGGCTGCTTCATAACCTCTGCCCTCTGCCTCCTGTCCCCAGCGAACCCCGAGAGTTTCGGCCTCTATTTCGTGCTGGGCGTCTGCTTTGGGTTGCTGCTGACCCTGTGCCTCCTGGTCGTCAGCATCTCCTGTGCGCCCCGCCCGCGGCCCCGGGGCCCTGCTCCTTGCCGGGACCCCCGCAGCAGCACCCTGGAACCCGAGGACGAGGAGGAGGAGGACACGATGACGCGGCTGGGTCCGGACGACACGCTGCCTGGCCCCGAGCTGTCCGCGGAGCCCGACGGGCCTCTCAGCGTCAATGTCTTCACGTCGGCGGAGGAGCTGGAGCGCGCTCAGCGGCTGGAGGAGCGCGAGCGGATCCTGCGCGAGATCTGGCGCACCGGGCAGCCGGACCTGCTGGGTCCCGGCGGCACGGGCACGCTGGGCCACGTGCACTATTACTGAGGCCCGGACGGCCTGAGCACTGGACGGCAACTGAGCCCAGCGCCGTCTCCGGACCTCCGCACTGCCTCTGCCTCCCACCCTCCTGGTGCTACCGGCATGACCTCGGCCTTCTGAGAGGCGCCTTTCCCCATCTTTTGCGAAGGCCCTGGGGGCGGGGATTGGGTCTGCGAAGCCACCACCTCTAGGAACCAGTGGAAGAGACCAATGAAAGCTGCAATCTGAGTGACTCAGTCTCTCCCTCCTTACCTCCATCGCTAGGAGACCCTTTGCAGGGGCAGGGTTAAGTCCCTAACTGCTGCTTTACAAGGTGTAGGTTGCACACACCGCGCTCCCCATCCTCATGTTCCTTCGCGGATGCAGAAAGCAGCATACACTTTCTGACTGGCGCACAGCGATTGTCAGGCATTCCTCACAAGTGCATTCCTTACCTCACAAGTACCCAGACGCGCTTCACCCTGTCCCCACTGTGTCCCTGGACGCTAGCCTCATTGCAACCGCACATACAGCCGGGGACTGAGGACTAAAGGGGCTGTTAACCCCAGTATAACCACGTGTGCCTGGGGCCAGTGGTTCTGACTAGAGGCCAAAAGTCCCTCCGGGCAGACAGGCTATCTGGGAGGAGTCCAGGCACGCAGAATGTGCTCAGCGTTCCTGCCCCGCACAGCTGGGTTCTGGGGTCCAGCCCAGTATCGTCGTACTCTGCCCCCCCATCCCCCCACAGCTGCATTCCGGGATCCGGCCGGTGGCCCCCCTGCTCCTGGTCTCCAGAGAGGGGCTGGCTTCCGAAGGAGACACCCTTCGCCCCCAACCCACCCCCCCCCATCAGTGGATAAAAATAGCCCTACACAGGCCTTGGAAACAGTAATGGGAGCCACATGTTGGCCAGATGTGCCCGGGAGAGACCGCAAGGAATGCGGAGGCCCAAGAGCGAGAGCGCCGGCGGCCAGGCTCCGCCCTGCACAGACCAGGCCGACTAGGCATATCCACCTCAGTTTACTTTCTGCATTTGTTTCCCAAAGAGGCATGTAAGGACGCAAGTGTCCTGAGCTGTGTTCCTGGGGGGGCGGGGGGTGGCAGTCATCACTGCGTCTGGGTCTCCACGTGCTTGAAGTCCCCAGTCGGGGGCTTCTGGGTCTTCTGCATCAGCCGAACCTAGTGGGGTAAGGGCATCAGAGCCTGGGCAGGTCCCACCCCAGTCCGCCCGCAGGCTCACCACCCACCTCCAAAGAGCGGCGCTCCTCCTGCTCTCTCTTCAGCTCCTCCCAGACCTCAGCCATCTTCCTTCTGTGGACCTTCTGTGGTGAGGGCGGCCAGGCCCTTCCCTTCCACCGCCCCGTCCCTGTCCCTGTCCCTGTCCCTGTCCCTACCCACTTACTCCATCTGCAGCTCCAGGTGCTCCAGGGCGCTGCTGAGAGCCGTTACTTCATGCATTAGCGTTGTCACGTCCACTTTGTCGTTCTTGTTGCCAGAGTTTTGCATAACCAGGGAATGAAAGGTGGGAGTCTCCGGGGAGTCTGGAGTCTGCTTGATAGTGTGTGGGATTTGGGGATCAGGGGCTCCCTGCTTTTCAGAGTCTTTCAGAGTAGGCTCCTCTGCAGGTGCCTCCTTCCCGAGGGCTTCAGCCTTCCCCGAGGGCCAGGCCTTCTCAAGAGCAGGCACAGACCACAGCCGGGACTGGGGCTCCTCTTGAAACAGGGAGCTGTCCCCCTGTCTTGTCATAGAACAGCATCTCTCTGAGGAGCTGGACTGCAGGGGAGCCTGCTCTGGCAATAAGACCTTTTCTGGGGGCTGGGTCTCCAAGGCCACCAAAGCCTGACTCCCCTGCAGGCATTCTTTAGAAGAGAAGCACTGGAATTGAGTGCACTTTCCCAGGGAGACCTCTCTGGGAAGCCCCTGTGCTGGGGTCACAAGCTTTTCTACTGTGGGGGCCACATTTTGGCCAAGGGCTTCATCCTTAGGTGAACCTTCTGGAGCAGGGACCAAATCCATAGAAAAGACCCTCTCTGGAGTGGAGTCCTTGTCCAGAACCAGGGTCTTCTCCGGGGTGGAGACTTTGCCAGGAGACAAGGGCTTCTCTGGGATGGAGGCCTTCTCCTCCAAAGTCAGGGTCTTCTCTGGATTGGGGGTTTTATTTGGAGATGGGGTCTTCTCTGGATTGGGGATCTTATTTGGAGATGGGGTCTTCTCTTTGGTGGGGGTCTTGTAGAATGTTGGGGTTCTAGTCACACAAGGGGCCTTTGCCAAGCTGGTGTGATCTCCCCCCTGTGGTGATGGGGACAGAGTCTCAGCAGAAGCCTGGGTACCTGAAAAGGTCAGTGTCCCCCCGCCTGGAATCCTTCACCCTTGCACACCACACCTCTGGGAATCAGCCTCTGCCTAGTACCATACCCACCCATGTCTCGGCCTCTCACCTGACTGGGTGCAGAGTGCTGGCGGGGAGCCTGGGTTTTGGATCGCTTTCTGCCAGGTTGCCCCAGACCTCCACTGAGGAGGCTGCCACTGGAGCCTATGAGAATAGAACTGAGGGACCCACCTCAACCCCAATCTCTCCCCATCTCTGTCCCTCAGCAAAGCCACCCTATCCCTGTCTCCCAGCCCTGCTCCCACTCACTGGAGGAAGAAAACCCTTACCTGCATCCCGGGTGGGGTGCTTCTGACTGTCCCCACAGGATGTCCTGGAACACATCCCCATGGGGCCTCAGGGAGGCAAGCGGGAGGGGCACTTCCTCTGTATCCACCCCCCACATACCCCTTACTTGGCTTTGCTGGGTCCATTGGGAGCTTTGACCAGCTTTTTGACAGTAGGAAGGGATGTTCTGGCCATCAGTTTCTTTGATTCATTAGGAACTGAGAAAAGAGAGTAGGTAAGTGCTCACTCACTCAGCGATCCACCTACCAGTCACTGGCAGCATCTTGTACTCTGGGCAGGACACTGTGGAAAGAAGAATCACCTCAGACTACGGAACACTGACCCCCTGGGCTTAGTAGATGATGGGAGCGCTGCAGAGGGACACCTACCAAATGGCTAGCAGGGCGGACGGCAGGAGACGGCTCCATGGCCCGCCTTATTTTTTCTTCAGTACTGGGGATTGAAGCTATGGCCCGTCTACTGTGCCACATCTATAGCTCTGTTTTACAAAGTTGTCAAGCCAGGCTGAGCTTGAATTTGTACTCTTTCCTGCTTCAGCCTCCTATACGCTGAGATTGCAGGTGTGCACCACTGGCTTGCATATCAACACTTCATCCTAAGATCTGTTCCCTCCTTGGTGTCCATGGCTGCCTCCCTGGTTCTGATCTCATCCCTTTCCTAAACCACAGCTGCTTTTTCCCTTCCAGTCTGGCCCCAGGAACATGAGTTTTGTTTTTGCATGTTAGATAGAATCATTAAACATTCCCTGTAAATTCACATAATCTTTTTTTGTGTGTGGTACCAGGGGATTAAACTCAAAACCCTGCACTTGCCAGGCAAGCGCTTATTCTACTGAGCTATCTCCCTGGCTCAGCAAGTTTTTTTTTAAAAAAAACTATTTGTTTCTTTAATAGTGACCTTAAAGGGGCCAGGGAGATGGCTCAGT